AAAAGAAAGCAAAGTTATTTGCATGCGAGAATTTGAAATCATTTTATTGCAAGCTCAAAGTTTATCGATAAAGCCATTTTATTAAAGGCAGTTTAGTTTTATAAAGAACACTTTAAAAACGTTTTTGTGGTTGAATTTTACCTTAAATTGGAGCTTATATTACGTATAATAACATATCTAACATATATGTTGGGAAATTGATAATTTTGTAATTAAAAGTGATATTTATAGGCGATTTTTCATTTGTAAGAATGTTCTTATAAAATTATCGTGTTACCATGACAACCACTTTAGATACTTCATGTTCGGAAAATACAATGGTTTTGTCAGCAAGGCGAGGGTTTCTACATGCATGTATTTTCTAGTTAACTAATTTAATTTATTCCCATGTTATGATGGACACACAACGTATTTTTTCTCAATGTTCCATTGTCGAGAGAACCGTAATGGTTTCTCCTTGAATCCATTATAAAGTACCATCAGGGCAGACATCAGATTTTGCTGTGACACAATGACCTTTTGTCGGCACAATCTGAAGAGTTTCTCCTTCAAGGTCATAATCCATTGTAAACCTGGGTGGAATGGAAGCATCCGCTTTTTTTTATAAGCTGCCAGTGGATATAACAACACCCATTCAATGGTCCTTTATAAGCTGCCTTCAGGCTGATCAATATGTCTTGCATGGACAATATCACATGCAGTTTGGTTGGAGTGTGATCGTTCCTCAACCATACCCGTACTGAAACAATTGGAGCACTGGGCCCAGTGCATGTTGCCACTGATTGACAATTTATGTCCTCCTTCTGAATGTTGGAGTCTGCCACTTCTGTAACTCTGGACGAATCTCCAACCGCAGACTGTACACCCATGTCTGGTGTGACGAGGAGGGAGAGCATTGCTGGGTCCAAAAAACCAGCGATCTCAGCAGATAACTCCTCGAGCGCAGCTGACTTTGATGACGGAACAAATGCCTTTGGGATGGTAATGGCGCAGGCACGAGAATTCCATTTCTTGAAGTGTTGAGCCAGGGGTGTATGAAGCATAAAAAAGTTGGGGGGCCTCAGCTTCGAGGGGCACTTTTAGAATGAAAAGGGTGCCTAAAAAATTTTCCCGGAAGGAGCAGGGCCTTAGCTAGCATGTACAGTTGGGGGGGGGGGGTGTAGGCCAAAAGTTTCCGAATGACGAAAAAAATTCTGAATATGTCATGGGATTGAGGGAAGAGGGAACACAAATACAGATATCTCGGTTAGTATCATTAATTATCGTGGACAAAGGACTGGATATTTGACTAAACACGTTATGAGACATGGATAGGGACGCTTCGGCCAATAACTTAGCTCTCGATCTGTGACTACGTCTTGAAGGAGTAATGGTGTTGTTATTCTCTGATACTTCAAGATCAACGTAAGACATTTCTGGTGTAGGAGAGAGAGGATAGGAATCATTTTTGCCAATTTGATGGGTATGTTGAAGATGGACACCAGCGCCACGATTTTCCGGGAAAATACGATCACAAATGGTACATTTAGCAGAAATGTTAAGTGAAATTCCTTTGTGTTTATTCACATAATGACGTTTAAAATTCACAAAGGAACCAATAATATTATTACATAGACAACAGTAATACGACTTTCCTTCAGGGAAAAGCCTAACGATATTTACAGATTTAACGTGGTCGGGGAATTCGGCATGATGCATTTTAGATCTATGAATGCCCAAATGTCCTTGAGTAGAAGCAATAAAACTACAATCCGTGCACTGTGCAAATGGCGATTGGGTATCCTGTCTGGACATAATGAACACGCAAAACACGAATAGAGTTACTGAAATTCCATATTACCAAAGGCTATATAAAGTACTAATATGGGTGCGGTGATACAATAACGCCACACAGACAATAAATAGTACAGCAAAACGGGGATTCCCCAAAATGAAACTTTGACTTGGAAACTGAATATAATTAGCCGGGAAATTTAAATCCGAATGGCTTTTGGGAAACAGAAAAACCACTGTAATTTAAATTCTATACACCATGTATTCCTGAAACTCGCTGGAGATGTCTTAAATCTGGAGATGTCTTCAGCCACTAAACTTAAATATAATCAGAGATAATAGTAGAATATGAGTCCGACCGGGAATAAATATAACAAAGTAAACACTTTACATGACAAACTCAAATGTTTTGATAATTCACAAAATAATCCACGAAACAGTATAATTTATATATCAAAATGATCCAATACATTAAACACATACAATCCAAATGACAAATTCCACAAATAATGTTCCACAAACGAAATAAATGCGAGCAAACTTGACAATAAACACAGAATTCCTGACAGAATAATTCATATTCCAAATATGACAAACTGACACGATTTTAAAATTCAAATAATACAAGAACTATACACGTTGACGACACCAAACTAGAACGATAATACACGAACAGGTAACACTATCCACACAGCAAATTTGAAGTAGATTCGACCAGGAGATACAAAGTTATGGTCCAAAAACTAAATATCGCAATTTATAGTGCAGCCATGCCAAATTACGGCGAATAGAACCAAATAAACCAAATAACTTTTGACTACCACAATAACAGCAGTTGAAAATATGATAACAAAGTGCAGCAAATCTTTATTTTGACAACAAGAAGAATGTTGATAATTAGAAATTTGCTGGAAAAATTAACACTTGATCTTAGCCAAAAGGCCGAGAAGCGATGCCTTCTAAGGCGTTTGCCCCACATATTTCTACGGAACACTTGTGCTACGAAAACGTGGTGAGAAAGGGCTCGCTTGTGAGCGATTATGATGTCGACAAACGCTTGATTACTCATTGCACGAGCACGGCAAGTCGGTTGTGATCACCCACCGCGAATCTTGCAGTTCTCTCGCACACACGAGTGCCATCATGGAGAGGAGCACGGCGGCCAAGTTGCATTGACCGTGAGACGAGAGTTGCGAACGTATCGGCTTTCGTGCTCTTTAAAGATTCATGAATGCGTCGAGCTTCTTTCACTCGCAAATTGCATTGTGACCCGGAAGGGTTTCGGTCATGCACCGTGAAATATTGCAATGTTAATAGTTACTTGGTATTTCATAAGTTTGACCGGCAAAACATGTGCGTTTGATAGCCAGTTAATCGGCACTTGGAATGTACATTGTGGACTGAAAGTCCATAGCGGCAGCTTCTGTGGCAAGCGAGTTAGTTATACAGCAAAAAGTGTACATAGGCTCGAAGTGCAATAAAATGTACACATAGCATTACTTACCATAATGAACACAAGATTAAGATTTTGAATAGATATATGCACAGAGAATATAGAGTGTCTTGGCGAGGCGTGGATAAATATGATATGTTTGACATCTGAGTCTATACAAAAACAATTGACACAGCAGTGTTAAGAAAAAAGTCTTTATGCATTTATACATGAATATGTTGAAGGAGATGAGTGTGAACGCAGGTCCCCTACCAGAAATTATATGCTCGAGTTACCCACATTAGGGGTAATTGCAGGAGTCAACCCAGTCAAAGTTCAATGAAAGGGCCTCATCCTGAGAGAACCTCCTAGTTGATCAAGGAGCCTCTCGCGTCAGGTAAGTTTATGTTTGTTCGAGACAAATTCTCACCTACTTGGGTTCGTGCAATGAATTTGTCTATAACGAGGAGTGTGCACCGGCACGCAAACGACTAGGGAGATGATCCCTAACTCCTCCTTAAATGTACCCGGGTATCGTTATTATTCTGACGCCCTATTGGGTACATTTATGCCTATTTAGTATATATTTATTTATATTTAAAAACTAAGAACTAAACTAGGCAATCCCCATCTCCCACAAGAGAAGAGCAGCCAAAGAAAATTCTAATATCTAGCTAGGAAGGCAAGAGGATAGTTGATACCAATTCCGGCACTTCAACCAATGAAGGCGACCCCCGGTCACAGAACAACAAAGATATTTAAAAAGAGAAGACCAGCTTCTCGCCCTGGAAATGACCCAAACGACCACTTGCAAGCCACTCCTTCGCAAAAGATCGAACTTGAGCTGGTGACTTGCATTTCCGACCAAGAAGACAAAGGACAAACTTGATTCGGATGATCAATTTGTTGAGACATTCCGACTCAACGGG